CGTATAGTTTAATTTGGTAAACACATGTTCAGTCCATGGTATAAATAATTTAACCATTGATTTTCAAACGGGATTTAAATTTAGATTGATTGTGTAAGGCGATATCCTTCCAACCGATTAATAAGTTTCTTACTAACACTTGAAACTATGTTATTTATCTTGCCATTGCAGTTTAAAGAGAATTTTTACATCTTTTACAGTTTTACTAATGCATATGACGTTAAAAAGTTTTACCTCTAACAGAAAAAAAAGCTCATATGCTAAAATGCAAGCACGACAAAGGGTTCTCCTGTTTTGTATATTTTGTTATAGTATTGGAATAAGGAAATAAATAACTAAAGTGCACCACATAGGACTATAAGATCAATGTGAAGACCACGTTAAGATACTACATTTTTTTGGATAATGCTTATCTTTTTGTATTACGTAAATAAATATAATAAATTATCTAAAAAGAAGTATTCAAATTCTTAATAAATGAATTATAAGAAGCCAAAATGAGAAGATAATGAATAGTTTATGTGCCATTATTGTTGGTCAGGAAATAGAATATTATCCATACAAGAACAGGTCAATGAGTTGTATGAGTCATTGCATAAACACAATGATTTGTATCCGAGTCGATTGCAATACATTGAGGAGGATCTGTGACTGAGTTGAATACCATTTGAGCAACTACATTTACGTTACATAACATGCCTTCAACGAGTTTCCCAAGTGTTTGGTTGTTTAATACTAAGCTTTGGACCAAGGAGTTTCTTAGGCCAAAAAAATAAAGAACCAATATAAAACTATCTAATTAGGAAGGAAAACGGTCTATTCCTCCATGAACTATATTGTTGCTAATTTTTTATACATGAAGTATTGAACCCGGCCAAAACACACATGAACTCGTATGTTTTTAAATTTACTACATAATCTTTTAAAACTTGGTCAATTCACACAAAACCGTTAACGGAGTCAATTTTCCATTCACAACGTTAATTCTCCGTTAACGGAGTCCGACGTGGAGGACATGTGGCTAACCTTTTCGGATTTGATAATTTTTTTTTTATGGTCAGTTCATAAAACAGTGCCGTTTTACGATTTGGGGAAATTTTTTTCAATAAAACTTATGGTTCATATATCGGGTTTGGTTTGGGGAGGGAAACAAATTTTGGAAGGTTGAGAGATAGAACGAAAGATTGAAAGCGAGAAATTAGTTGTTTGTGGGTTTCGAATAGGGACAATTTGATTGTTGTTGTCACTTGTTATATTCGGGTTTGGTCGCAACAACATAAATATTTGGTTGTTGCTATGGTGGAAAGATTGAAATGGTTGGTGGCAAAGCTATGTACGTAGGTGGAGGTTATCGATATCTTGAAGCTCGACCATCTGCATTGTTTTTATAGTTAAGGAATAATCTGCCGTTGAGTATCTATGGTCAGAGAGTTTTGTATAAGATCCCTTTTGATGATATAGAGGATCGAAACAACGGAGGAATAGAAAAATACTAATGGAGGAGGATCAGGTACATGCTTCACACACACACA